CGGTACGTAGCAGCCGATGACGACGATGATGATAGGGCGCCGCTACCGCCGCCGCGTCCGCCGCCGCGGCCGCAGCCGCAGCCGCAGCCACCGCCGCCACTGCCGCTTGTTGCTCGTCCTACGCCGCCTTGCTCTTGTTCGTCTTGAAGCTGACCTGGAGCACGCGGTTGCCCAGAGTGTAGCCGTTCAGGCTCTGTATGGCCACCACCGCCTCCTCGTAATTGGTCATCGTCACGAACCCGAAACCCTTGCACTTGTTCGTCTGCAGGTCGCGTATGACCTTGACCGATTGGACGGCGCCGAACGGCCCGAACAGTTGCCAGAGGACGTTCTCCTCAGTTTCGGGTGCGAGGTTGTACACGAAGATGCACCAGCCGGCGCCGTTCATCGTATTACCGGGCAGCATCGAGTTCGCGAGAAGGTCACCCGCCAGCGGACTGTACCTGGAACACGGTGGCCGGTCCGGTCATTACACGAACATCGTCGCCCGGTAGCGGCTGACGGCCGCGGAGGCGACGAATGGGGGGAGGACACGAACGATGCTGAAACGTGAGGCGTTACATCGCACGCGCGAAACGTTTCTTCGCGTGCGTGTACTTTCCGTCATCTGATATGACATCTGATCGAGCTCTCTGAAGATCAAAAATGTCAGAAATGCGTTTTCTTCATCATAATAATTCTATACGAAATAATCGTCGGATAATTTATTAAAAAGACAATTTTTTTTCATTTCGTCATGAGACACTTTCACAATAATGCATTCTTCTCGAAAAACAAGTTTTTACAAAAATTTTATTGCAGTAAAAATTGTTCTTTTATCTTACACTATCACGTTTCAGGGAACGCTTGAGCACCGTTCAGCTATAAATATACTTGTTGCAATTTCTTTTTTCTGAGCATGAAAGAGTATTCTATATAAGATTTACATTATATACGCTACTCGCACAGTATATCGCAATCCCAATGAAATTAAACGTATAAAGATGCGAATATATACAATATTGATGTGAATATTTATTTCGCGTGATATGTAACCGATCTTTTTCTTTACACAAATAGCACTTTCGCAAAGATCTACATGTGACATTGGCATGAAAAAAAGTGAAAAAGTAAGTAGGATCACGCGAGGATTGATTTTGTATTACATAACTTACGCGAACATTGTAAGAAATAATGATAGTGGCACAAGTGACATATAAATAAGAAAGAAATATAGCGTGCAAACTTTGTTTTTATAAATATAGAAAGACATATAAATGCATTAAAGACATATAAATACAAATATTTATTTCATTATTTGTGTGATCACTACGGCAAATTTAAATAAATATAAATTTAATTAAAAAAATTAACATTAGAACAAATTTTCAAATTCATAAAAAAAAACATCGGTCTATTTTAATTGCATAATTTTAAGTACGTACATAATTAAAAAGATTAAGGAATCGCAAATCTTTATGCAATAAATCTTGAAATACAAAATAGAAAATAAGTGAAATTTTAAAGAGTACAGGCGAGATTTGGTGAATAATGATGCTCGTTCGGAAATATATAAGTTGTGAGAGAATAAATAAAAATAAAAGGAGAAAGAAAAATTTCATTTAAAGATTAAGTGACACAACGATATACAATGAAGGAATGTTATTCGTTCATGTTTTATGAAAGAATTTAGATGCGTCGCGTTATCCGACGCTATAGATTTTTTAATCAAATATAATTAAATCTTCGAGCCATGCATTCATTGTAAGAAGAATATGTTCAGAGGAAAAAAGCAGAATCGGACAAAGATACATTACTGTTTCAAATTCAACATTCATGCATTCACGTGCACGAGAGGGATCGCATGGGTACAGAACGTGTTTTTTTTTTTTTTTTTTTTTTTTTTTATTTATTCCTGAAACGCGCAAGCCAATCTTCACGAATGGCCGTTCTCTACGGTGGACGTTAACGTTAATTTCTTAAATGTGCGACAGAATTCTGTTTCTCTTCTTGCCACAGACAGATTAAGATTTTAGAACACAGGAATGGAAAAGTACACGTCCCATACGAGGACACTTATACAAGTGAGGGGGATATTTACAGTTGTAAAAATATCTACGTACCTACTTGACGTCACAAGCCGCGTTAAAACAGGGCACATCTCGGTGAGTACTCAGTATAATGCCGAGGCCACAGTAATTACGTATGCATTCGTCACGTACATTGTACGTTACACCGCGTAAAGAGAGAGTAAACGTGTGATGCGTGTCGTGTATCTTTACGTGTATGCAGAAATATGTGCAACGGGTGTGACTGCCTGCGATTTAACTCCGTTAAAAGTGTATACGCGTGTGTGTCGGTGTGTGGAGAAGCCGAAAAAAAAAAAGAAAAAAAAAGAAACAATGGAACCTATAAGGATGAGGGAATGAAGGGAGTGACATCACGTTGCTTGCATGTAAATTCGTCTCGTTGTTCATCAAGCGTATGTACACATATTTACATGAGAGTATCTGCATCCGGTTTCTCTTCACATTTCAAAGTATTCGCATCTAAAAGTAAATATTCTCAAGAGCAGATTGACTTTTGTGTAACTTTATAAAGAATATCATAAATATATTACAAAATATTTCATATCTAGAATTTTCGGATTAAACTTTCTATGAAATATTGCAATAGAATGTCATATCTTAAATCTTCTCGTTAAAGAGAAATGTCGAAATTATGAAATTTTTTTTCTCGAAATTAAATACTGTTTCTATTACGTAATAGCGTAATAAGAATAAAGTTTAAAATATTTTATATAAATTGCAATTGTTACACAAATGGTAGTTTAATCATTATTAAATAGAATGGTAGTTTAATCATTATTAAATAGATAAATTGCACTATGTAAATAAGTGAAAGAACAGGGAACTAAGGAGATTTGGTTGCGAAACTCAGGAAAACGTGACGTCAATATATCTACCAGTGTTTGCAGAACCGAATTAAACAAAGCAAGATGTGATAAATGCAAAAGTGGTAAAAATTACGAAAGAACAGGGTCCCGTTACGAAATCATGTTTGCATAAAAAAAACCAGCGGCAAATACTTTATATTCAAAAGAAAAAAAAATGTTCGCGTAAGAACATCCATCGGATAAAAATCATTTAAATCGAATAATTATTAATAAAAATCAACAATAATTTTTATTGCTTAAAAAATTGTTATAACAATAAAATCATTTCGCAATACTTTGATACCAAATTCGTAACGAGTCGAAAAAGGGAAAGAGAGAGAGAAAGAAAGAGAGAGAGAGAGAGAGAGAGAGAGAGAGAGAAAGAGAACAAAGCCACACAACGGAAGAAGTAACGGAAATTAGGAGTGGAAAACGTAGCGGTAGTAACGAAAAAAATACTGACCTCTGTAAGCCTTTGTTAATGGCAAGCATGGCCTTGCCAGTGCTAAAACAAAACACAAAAAGAACAACGTAAGAAGAGAGATACTTCGGGATCGAGCCAAAGTCGGGGGATAAGTCGGGCGCTCCCTGTGTGTTTCATTTTCTACCCTCTACGTAGCGGTGCACCGTTACCCCGAACCGGATGGGCATAATGGGGGATGCAATGCGGGACTCAGAGAAGCAAAGTAGTTCACTCATATTGATGTAAAATTAATTTTCATCAAGATAATATTTATTTGCAAATTAATAATTCTGTATTATTTTAACAAGATTTATTATAATATAAATAATACTTTAAATAAAAAAAATTATTTGCTTAATAGACAATGTATAGATAAACATTGAAAAACTTAACTTTCGGAATGAAAAATTAATTCGTCTTTCGCGAGACCACTTCGGTTCTCTGTTAGGAGAGGAAGCCAAGGAATTATTGTCGCAATGTGGAATAAGCGCGGTTTAAGTCAGACTGTGACCGTATTTTTCAAATATAACATGTTCAAAGTAACACGATAAATTCGACATCATTAAAATTTTCAAAACATATATTTAATATTTTTTTAGTTACAAATTGCAAATTAAAAGAAAAAGATTGTAAAAGAATTTGTTTAGAGATATTAGAGCTTGTTAAGAAAAAGCATTTGGTTTTAAGTGTAATATACGCAACTGACGTCAAATTACATATTTCATTTTTTGTGAAAAATTGCAAAAATTGTGAGTGTCACGCTCACTCTACTCAAATTCAAATCCGTCGACCGAATTTCAAATGAGTTTTGTTTAACATTCCGAGTTTTGTTTAACAGTCCGATTAACTGCTATCCTTCCACTTTGCTGGAAAAGAAAATGAAACTATGAGAGACAAAGCAATAGCAAAGCGCAGCTGCATTCGAATTAGCGCTTTGAATTTATTGAAAAACAACCAAACGATCAATGTCTGTGGACGAGTCTCATGAAGAATTTCGGTAGTTCTGTATCTTGAATCTAAACATACGAACAGACTCTGACACGTGCGATCAATGAAGATGTACAGTGCGTGTATCGTCTTCCTTCATACTAGCGAAAATTTGCAAATATACGTATAAATACTACGTAAATAGATATCGCTGTCGATAACCAACATCGTGACTTATGCGTATTATGTGGGAGGCTCGAAACGAAAGACAGATGATAACATGTGAGTGTCGGTGGTCCTTAATTCCGTAACTGATATTTGTCGTCAGGCGTTTGAACGATTACAAAAAAAAAATCTCCATGATAATTTTACAATAACACATGTATGAATTATTAAAAAAACTTCTATATGATAACTTTAATAATTTGCTAAACAATATTGCAATATAATATAAAAATATTTTGCAAGCGTAACGACAGATATCGATATAGAAATATAAGGCTAGTGTATATGTTTTGCTCCTCCATGTGTTTCGAAACTGGCCAAAGATCAGCTTATATATTTTTAAATAAAATTCTCAAATTTATATTATTATATAAATTTATATTATTTCATCTTTCTATATTCAATCGAGTATAGTACAGAATATACATGTCTGTTTCGTGATATCTACTGATCACTGGCCTCGGAGATGAGAAATAAAAAAAAAAAAAAAAAAATAAAATAAAAAAAAGGAAAAACAGCACAAAAATCCGCGAAGAATCCGCGTAAACAATTATTAAAGAAACACAACGACAAATAAAGGAGGGTCAGCCGACTTGCTTCTTTTTATTATGCGCAAAATTGGATGTTATCATGGATGTTATCGAGTGTAAATCTATTATTTCGTAAGGTCATGGAGCCCTGTGATCGGCCTTGACAGGTTGTTTCGTCGATATGCAAGTTTAATAGAAGTGTATCGATTGCGAGACGGAAAGACCTTTCTAAACGGAGCTAACGCGGATTCTTTGTGAATTGTCTGCGCTTCCAAACATTTTATATATTCTCACGAAATTTTTTTCGTCCCAACACAATATAATTTAAAGCAAGAACTAAAAGTAATATTTATACGTTTCAAGTATATCGAAAGATATTTTCAGGATTAAATAAAAAACTGATGAAGCTACTCTTACATCAAACGTCGCCATTAACTGTCCCTCTCTTGTAACTAACAATAAGTAAGAATATGAAAAATACCGAAAAATTATCGTTTAAAAAATGAAGGCAAAAGGTCTAAGACATAAGTTCCGAAAATAACAGAGCGTGCACAGTCACAATTAAAAAAATAAAAAAAAAAAAAGAAAAATAACAATTAAGAATAGACATAAC